GATGAGGTCTGACCAGAGCAGAGCAGAGGGGCAGAATCACCCCCCTCAACCCGTTGGCCACCCTGCTTTTGATGCAGCCCAGGATTCGGTTGGCTTTCTGGGCTGCAAGCGCACATTGCCGGCTCATGAAAATGCAGGAGCTGTGCCTGGGAAGAGCTGGGTGAATTACGCTCCGGAGGGATGGGTTGATGCCAAGGGCCCTGGCGAGGCCACCAGCCTGCACGTAATGGCTCACCGGTGGTGAGCTGCCCCTCCGCTTCCTCCGTCAGGCAGCACACGGGCCTGGTACGTTTTGCACTGGAACTCCAGTGAAATGCCAGAGAAAATCCCTGTGACAGGGAGAGGCAGGAGCAGCAGGCAAGTTGCACAAAGCCCTACGCTCAGAGGAGTACTGACTGTCATACTCTGAGCATTTCTTCACCATGGGAGCGGGAGGCTCCAAAATGCCTCCCCCCATGTTTTACCTGAGGTGAGGGCTCATAGGCTCTCACAAAGGCATCAGAGGGGTTTAGAGCAGAGACTGAGAAGAAGTCCCCGAATGGCAAGGGCAGGAATCCTCTAGCCTGCACATAGCCTGAGCACCAGTGATCCCCATGCTTGCCATGCTCCAGCGTCTGTAACTCTGGCTCTGTTCACCCAGTTGCTCAGCCAGTTTGAGTTCAGTTTCAGGAAGTGGCTGCCCTCCAGCAAAGCTCAAGGGAGCAAATTCAGACAAACCACTCCTGTTGAAATAGGTCCGTGATGGTTGTGTCTGAGGAGAGCGAGCCCTGGCTAGTCTGGCCTACCAAGGTGCTTCTGCCTCCCCTCCTGTCTCTGCCCTAGCATGGGAGAAAAGGCGTCTTTACTTAAGTCAGCCTTGCTTAGGCTTGCGTGTCTCTCCCCCTCCATTCATGGCTAGCAGAGTGAGATCAGTGCTGACAGGGAGACTAGTGCTCTCTTGCACAGTTGCTATGGTGCTGCGTGCTCCTACTGCCTACCTGTTGCCTCTTCCAGATCCATCAAGGGACAGAGATTAGTGCAAACGTGGCTGGGACGCAAGTCAGTGGTGCTTGGTCATGGGCACTGCTGAACCATGCTCCAAGGTCCTTGGTAAGAGACCTACCAGTCAAAGCGAAGAATGTTAAATACTTGAAGGCATTTTAAAAGCAGACACCTGGCACCTGCTTGCTGCCCTGCTTTTTTTGTGCAAGCAGTTAGCCATGGCTAGGAGCCCTGCAGTTGTCAGCTACATCTCAGTGTAATTTTATACACAGGAATATTCACAGCGTCCTGTTCCTTTGAACTCAGTTGAAACAGCAGGCTGTTCCTTTGCTCAGAAACGTAGCTTTGTTCTCCCCGCTTAGCTATGCTCTTATGCATCAAGAGGCAAGTCCGACATCCACTGAAGGTAATGGAAAGACATGGATGGTTTTCAATGGGAGTTAGATCGGTGTTCAGATAAATACACAATTCAGTAAGGCAGGCTTTAACTGCTTCTCTTATTAGTAAAAAAACCATTAGTTTACTCAACAGAGAAATTTGATTTTTATTTTTAATTATTTCCAAGTTCAGAAAAAATGTAAACTGTGTGTCCAACCAAGAGCTTGTATCTTCTGTTGCAGGAAAAGGCTCAGAAACTTACTGTTCCGGAAAGTATGAAATTGTGGGTTTCAGCAGATCCTCGTAACAGAGGCAATAATTAAAGCTGTTGTGAACATTGTATAAGGAGAAATCCATGCATTTTTTCTGAGATCGCCTTCCACTGCTTGTACACAGCATTCGGCCTCTTCCAGCAAGCATCCTAGAAAGACTCAGAATGTTACTCCCACTGGTCTCATGGGGTCTGCCAGACAACACAACAACCCCTTGACAAAGCATATACGAGACTACCTACCTTTCATACCCACCCTGCCCTGTGAGGTGGATGTGGAAAAGTTACCTGCTCTGGGCTTAAACTCTCGGCTGTGCTCAGAAGGAAGAATTGAGTGTTCCACTTCTGAAACAGGTCTGTGCCCTCCTGAAGTAAAGCTGGCAAGCTAGACAGCATTACTTCTCAGCCCAGCAGCTGAACTACGCTGTGCACAGCTTCATCTCCAATCTTTGATCCTAGAAAGTTTTTCTAAGTAGACTGCTATTAGTGATGACACTCGCAAAGGCCCTCTTGTTTCTTGTTGCTTTTTTCAGGGTATCTTTGCTGTATAGGTCATTTGAGAGACTAGTGATCGCATCTGACACAGATGAGCCAGGCAGAAGCACATGAGTGGTCCTATTACAAAAAGGCACCTTTCCTGATGCTGTGCTTCTTTCTCTGTATCACAAGGGCTTAGTGGGCTTTGTGCTGCAGGGAGCTAAGATCCTCACCCAGGAAATAGTGGAAGAAATGGCACTGGCCGTGGACAGACCATCGTTTGTCCTTCTGAAACTATGGGAGGGCACTGGGAGACTGTTATCACTCGAGTAACTTCACTGCAAGGGGAGGCAAATTACGCTAACTTGGTGGAACAGTCTATATGGATATATATATGCATGCAGACCCCAGTTTTTATTCCAAGCCTGGTCAGGTAGCCTTAGCTTAAAGTACCTAAGAGACAAAATTCAGTGAACAGCCTAGGTTAACTGAGTGGTGAGAATGTACCCCCAGATCTCCTACTTCTCCTATTTGTCAGGTTGTTGGATAATTTTGAACCAGCTGAGTGAAGCTTCTCTGTTTCCTAAGGTTTGGGGTTTTTTTTCTCTTTTTCTTGTTTTTCTACTGTTCTTTCCAGGCAACACAGGGTGATTTTCAGGTTTTCTCCTCTATTGCTAATAGAGTTTTTTCACAAAACCTGCCAATTTGGCCAGGCCTGGAGCTGGGCTGAAAGAACAGGCTCTTTCTGATGCCTTACTCAGCCACTCAGGTGGGATCCCAGCTGCTCAGGAAATGAGATGAGCTCTTGCTCCTCCCCTTAGTGATTTAGTACAAGTCTGGCAAGAGAAGAGGAAGCAGGAACCCTTTTTTCTTCATGAGAATGGTAGGGAGAGCTACTATGAGGCTGTAAAAATGGGGACTACCTTTTCATTTGGTCTGCAGTGCCTGGCCTGTGATTAAGAGAAGAGTGGTTCTGTGCTGTGGCTGAATTTCCTTGGCTTGGAAGGTGGAAAGGAAAAATGTGTCACCTGTAGCTGGAGGTAAGGCAGTAGAAAGCCAGGGTAAGAGCAGAGGTGAGCATGGTGCAGGATTGATAGGGGAGGGAGATGGGTAGAGCCTGTGGCCCAAACAGAAGTGGGAATGGACATGTTTAGAGATGGACCAGAACAGGGTGGCAGGGCTCGTAGCAGGGAGAGCATGCATGGCACAACTGCTTTACTTCTTGCTTTTGGAAGAGCTGGCTGTAGTAAGTGTTGCATGTGCACTGGAGGTAGGGTATGGGGTGTTCCAAAGTCCAAGAGACTGACCAAACATGTCCCTCAGAAACAGTCATCTCCTTCCATGTGGACAACCCACCTGTGCTTTGTATCTTTCAACCCATTAGTTGTTTTCTCCACTGTAGTTTCAGTACTTGTTCTGTCCTTCCTTTGTATGCTTAATGCTTGTCAAATAGATGTTCTTGAGGCCTGTAGTCACCTTACTATCTGAAGCTGTCACCTTACTATCGGAAGCTCTCACCTCTTTGCCAGTTGGTCTGCACAGTAAGTTAAATGTTTTTGTTCTTGCTCTTAGGGTCCCATCATGTTCTACTGTCCCAAATCCCTGCTGGTCATGGCTTTTTCCCTTGTACGCTCCTGCTTTTGTGCCTTCCTGTGTGCATACAATGTCTTTCTAACCTCCTGTTCCTCACTCCCTAGGGAAAAGGAATCTTTTCATGGAGCCATCTAAAAAGTGAGCTAAATTTCATAATAAAATAATAAAAAAGTAAATTTGATAGAGTCATGATAAGGTGTATGTGCTCAAACTTAGTGACTGGCTGGTTACTAATTTGCATCTTCCTGGCTCTTCTCATTTGTTTTGTTACTGTCAATTAGTGTGTAACAATTAAGATTACATACCATTTTCCCAGCTGAGATAGGTAGCAGCAAGACTCAGCTGTGCTCCATGATAAAGCATTTACTTATGCCCCCAAAAAGGACAGCTGCAGGGAGCAGAGGAGTTCTTTATTTTTGCAAGACAGCTTAGATCCAGATTGTTTCATTGATGCAGTTTAAGTTATCAGACTCGATGACCGAGTCCTTGGCATAATTGTTTGTGGCTTCTACTGCAGCTGTTTCTTTCAGCAGTACCCCTGGCTCACCGTCTAAAGGTGAGGGGTGTCTGTACCTCCTTGACTTTTGAAACTTGGGCAGTCATTTTTTTCAGTCTGTTCCGCTGCAGTTTGGTGGGTAGTTGCTGGAAAAAATGTGAAGTGTTGTGGTATTTTATTAAGTTCCTCTTCCCTAACCTAGAACAAAACAACAAAACCAGAGATGCTTTGTAATGAGGGATGGAAGTAGATGTGTGTCAAACACATGCAGCAGTTTTTTCTATCTTTCTACCCAAATGTGATCAGAATGTTACTCCAGTTAGCGCTGAATTTAGTCAATTTATTCCGGTGTCCATGGAAGATACATCTCTGGGTGGGTGGGGGAGACATCTCCAGAAGTTTCCTCTCTTATGCATATTTTTACAGTAATCTTCCAGGCTTTCGGCAAAAATAAGCCTGGACTTCCAACATCTGTGAGATGAATATAGGACCCACTGCGCTGCCATTAATCAGGTTTTGGTAGTAGGTTGTACGTAAACTGTCAGCATTAGCTTGATGTATAAAAAGTAGAGGGTTTTAGGTGATAAAGCAAACACTGCGAAAATACACAGCCGAATTAGATGACCTCTTTTTCCGCTTCAGCAGAAGTCTTTGTGTCCTTCACTGTAAAATCACCCACTTCCTTGTTTCCAAACTGAATTTTTTCCAGCCTAGCTGGTGGTTTCTTCAGTGTCTTTTCCAGGGCATGTCCCTGTAGAGACATTAAAAGCTTTCAGCAGAGTATATTTTGATGTTGGGGTGACACTGCTGCTTGCCTTCTGCTTTTTTTTCATGCATGGAGGTGATGGACTCTGATACCAATGAAAGCCTAGAAATAATGATGTGCTAATAACCTCAGTGCTCACTTAGAGTGAGTGTTGTCTGCAGTGAGAATTCCCCTTTTCTGCCAAGTGATGTGTCTGTGAAGCTTGCAATGTTGCTGTACACCCAGCAGATGTGGGGATTTGGTAATGAGGCCCTAAGTATGTAGGGAAGTTACTTTATTAGTGCTGAAGAGATTTAAGAATGGTTTTGTTAGAGCTTCGTAATCATGATACTGCTGCCTCTGCTGCATACAAATGAGCAGCCCAATCCTAGAGCTCTGCTGCTGAGGGTAGAACTTGCTCGTGGAAAGATGCAGTGATTGTTTGATCAGCCAGGAGGCTGAATTCTACTGTTCTCTGTATGATAAGCAGTTTTAGCAGTGTTAAACCCACACCAAGGACCTAGGGTTGAAATAATCACTATCCTGTTACAAGTCTCCTGAGTTATCTGCTCCCCAGACTTTTATTGCCATAAATAACTCTAGAAGTCAGGCCTCACTGCCAGAAGTGTTAAGTGCTGCAAATAGTATAGAAGATGACTCATTTAGTGAGACGAAGGTGAAGCATGAATCAGTAGGAAGAAAACTGATATACAAAAGAGACGTTTTGAATGCCAATGACACAAAAAATCTGAACAAAGCAATGTTCAATCATCATAAAAATGAAACAAAAGCCTTTTTCAAAAGAAAAAAAGGAAAGAAACTCTTCTGTCTTATGACAAAGGCCATTCTAGTGAAAGCCCAAAGTGGGAAGGTATTGCATACTGAGCATGTCATTCCTTACCCAAGACAAACTGTGGACTGCATAGGAAGAGATGAATGGAAAATTCTTCCCAATATGTTCAAACTAAACAGAGTATTCAGCAAGCAGGTTGCTTTCTGTATTGTTCTGTGTCTATATAAGCTGAGAACAGAACTTATCTTTGAGATAAACAGTTTTAGGAGATCAAGAGTCATAGCTTCAATGGACCCATGCTGAAAACTAACGGCAATGGAAACGCTAAAATAATAACCTGTGCGCATCCCTTGTAAATGGTAACTCCTGATAAGGGGATAGAATTCCCACAGACAGTTCCATTTGAAACTACAGCTTTTGGTATAACAAGGCATCTTAACCTGTACTGCTTGGAGTTCCTTTGTTCAGGATAAAGTGAGGGATGGGCAAAAAGACTGAAGGCTTCTAACGTAGCTGTTTCACAGCGTTGGCAATGGCAGGGAATCTGGAGAAGACAGGTAATGCTGCCAAGGCTCAAGGGATGCAGATACTTATATGGAACACAACTATGCACAGGAAGGGAAAGCTCTTGCAAGGATCTCTCTGTTTCCAGTATTATTGTAAAAATAATCTCAGACCTGGTTGTACTTATCTTTCATAGTGCTGTGAGGTTTGTGAGCTCATTTCTTCATTGAAGCTAGTGCTGGACTGAAATTCGGCATAAAGCTATTCATGCTTATTCCTGGTCAATTCCAAAATTTCAGATGTGAATTTACCTGTGTGTTAATGTTCAAAATCCAGACCTGCATGTTGTAATTTTGAATATGTCTGGGTAATAATGTTTTCTACTGCATCTGTGTTCAGTGCATTTAGTCCTTCTATTAGTAGGTAATCTGCTGGATTTGAGCTCTAATGGGATAAATTATTCTTACAAGAGGTAGCACAGGCCAAATTTTCTATTGCTACTAAGGGAGAGCTAATAGTTAACAGCTAGTGACATATTTATGTTTTTACTTGTAGGTTACCCAGCAGTGGGCCCAGCTCAAATGTAAAATATCACTTGGAAAAGTTGGCTTTGTTAGTGAAAAGTACGAGGTTCATTTTTAAAAGCTGTACTGATTTTAAGATAAAAATCCTCCTGTTGGGAGGATAGAAATTCTCTAAGGAGAAATAGCACAGACTGAATTTCTGTCAATAAAAAAGTATATGTAATTTAACACCAGACAGCTTTTTAATACAGGAGGGAAAAAAAAGAACAGACACTTGCCTATCTTATGAAGGAGAATACAAAAACCTGCCTGCAGTACGTCACCTAAATTTAGCCACAGAGGGGATAATCCTCTCAGATACTCAAAAAATCTGTCTGAAGGAAGTAAGTAAAGGCTATGGAGATGCTGTACTTGGAGACCCTCCAGCCCCATTTTCCAAAGTGCTGGCAATAGGAAGTGTGTTGGGCAGCACCAGTGGCCAGGCTGTAAGGTGGCACTCGCTTGTTTAGTCCTTCTTATGAAAGCTTCTGTTTGATCTTCAATAATGTAAGTGGCCAAGGTTAGACATGTGTAAATGGCTTGCCTCAAATGACAAAGTTACTCAGAATCATCCTTGGTTTGACCTTGAATTGTTCCTGTGTCCAAGCAGTGGTGGGATCATGCTTTGGGTGATACCTATCCACAAAGGTGTTAAACTTCTTACAAACTCCCTGACTCCCTCCTGACGTCTGTACTAGAAAGGCTTCCTGGAAGAGGCATCTGATCCTTAATACAATGCTTGATGACAAAGAATGAACTTGAGTTCAGAAGCCAAAATAAACCTCAGGTTATCATTCAGAATGAAAAGATGGACAGTAGCTTCTTATTCAAGTACCAGTTCTATATTTTTTTTTTTAAATCCATCTTGTAATGGTTTCTTAATCTGAAATCAAATGTGAATTGTAGATTTCTCAGAAGTGTGAATATTTAGGATTTCCGAGGTCTTAATTTAAGTGTGATTATAAGCCCCGATAGCAGTATTTCTTGTAGTTTTTGTGGACTTGAGACACAAGTTTGTGGCATGTAACTTCCAGTGAGTTTTTCAAAGAACAAGTTCTTAGTACTGTCACTGTCTCCTTTGTCCCCATTTGAAACAAGCCTGGAAGCTGTAAACAACTGAAAACTGCTGCCAGCTTCTGTTGTGTTAACATCCCCTTAACACGGTTCTCTGTTGACAACTTGCCTCTAAATTCTTAGAGCAGATATGCCTGGATGCTTTGCGTGTGCAGAAACTGAATCTCAGGGTGCTCGCAGCAGGGTCAGAGCTGTAGCAGGGTCCTGCCTTGTTTTCATATGCTTCCTCAGTCCTGGCAGTGGTACTTCAGCTTTTGATTATTCCCTGCATCCTCCGTTCCTCAAGAATATCTGATAATTTTTGCCTCTCTGTTTCCTCACTGGTGAGCAGTGCGTCTTCAAAAGATGAAAACATTAAAACTTAGTACTTGTAGAGCGCTTGGCATTCAAACAAAACTTCATGATGTATTTCCAATGCCAGAGTTTTTATTTAAGAGGTTACATACTGAGAACATCCAGTGGAGAAGGCCTGCTCAAGTCTCTTTTCACTGCTTAAACTTTGCGGTAAGCTTTTTTCAGTGGCTTGAAAAACAGTGCAGGCACCTAGTTCAGTTTCTCACTGTAGTCAGTTACACCCAGAGGGGCACATTCAGGAAAGCGTGGAAATGTGTGCTGAAGGCCTTTGAAGCCAACTTTTGAGCATGTTCCCAAAGAGGGACCATAGGGAGCTCTTTACAGTTAAGTTCTCAAGGGTCCTGTGATCTGGTCAGAGAAAGCCAGTCCGGGACATGATAGTACAAACCTACCAATGTGCCATCTTGTGAAGATCACTGTGCTCTTCTGTTAAATGAACCCAAACTTTCATATGCTTTCATGGTCTATGATTTTTGTTGTAACAGCATTGCTACGTTTGAGTCTGACCATAAGCATTCCAACACTTAATTCTATATTTATAAACATCAATTAAGAATAAAAACCCAATTATTTTGATAACCCATCTGAGTGGCTGTTTAGTTTCCACTAAACATTAGACATATTCATATTAGACATGAATAAACAACGAACAACTTTATTGCCAAGACCCATCAGGTTTTTCAACCCTCAGTTGACAGTTCTACCATCTGCCCAACCTCTGTTGGTGGAAGATAGAGCTTTTGTATGAAGAATGTTTGTACCAAATGAAAATCACAGTTATTTGACATCTGCCAGTCTTTATACGCAGAGTGGGTATGACAATGTTGGCTTATCTTTTAGTTGTAAAACAAAAATACAGAACACCTACCATCTTGTAGAAGCTGACTCCATACCTCTCTTAAAATAACTGAACCAGTCACCCACAAAGCACTGGGGTTCAGCTGTCAGTCAGAACACATAAATGTCAGAAGCCAGTATACAGCAAAACGTATCTTGGCAAAAAATAAAAGCATGATGAGTGGGCAACGTTGACAAGTGATGTAAATTTGTATTGGTTGTACTAATCTATTCATTCAGGAGAAAGATGTAGTTGAAATATCTTGGTACGTATATGGGGTTTTTTGTCTTGAAGCAGAAGATTGAAGCATGATTTCAAAAACTTTCTGTTTAGAAATTTCCTGTGAAGTTGTCTTTTAGCACGTGGGAGGAAAAGGAGATTGAAATTAAATGAAACACGCTATTCCAGAGCAAGCGAACAATTTTGTTCAATCTGAAATGAAATCCTTTCATCACGTCCTTCTGTGGCATTGGGAGTTAAGTCCTCTTTAATGAATAGCAAACACCAGTAATTATTCCTTTTGTGTTTAATTTGAAATATTTTATTGCAACCCTTGTTTATTACAAAGAGTAAACAACTACTGTAGATTTTCCATTTAGTGTGTTTGTGAAATGTAAGCTGTTCATGGCACTTGAAAAATACAAGAGTTAAACTACAAAATTAGGGAGTTTAAATGCACCAAAGATGGTGCTGCTTTTCCATTGGCAACCCTTACTACAACGGTGTCCCAAGATTATAGGAAAGTTTGGGTTTAAGTGTTCACTTGTAATTAAAAAAAAAAAAAAAGAAAAAGATTCTTAGCAGACATTTTGCTTATTGTCATGATGATTTCTGGAATTTTGATAGTTTTCTCTGTATGATAACTGGCCCTGCAACTTTTAGTTGCAAACTTAAGGAATAACATGGTATTTACTTACTGTCTCTACCTGATGCTGGTCAGGGGCATTGCATTAACCATTGTTGTAAAAAACTGACTCATTGTAACAGCAGACTGACAGGCCTCGTGTGGGCAATGAGTCTTCCTAGTGTGCCGTAATACCAGTTAGAGAGGTCTACCCCTGGGGACAAGGCTGAGTTCGTTCTCTTGGTCTGTTCCAGGTGTCTGCCAAGAAAAGTATCTACCCTGCTGCCTGTTCTGGTAGCAAGGGTTGAGTCATGTTGCAGAACAAAATCATCAGCTAGGAAATACTTTCTGCTACTACTGCATGGTTTTAAACCAGTGCTAAGAGCTCAATCCTTTGCGGTGTCGCAGCGTGAACGTTTCTGGGTATCAAAGCTGGCTGTAGCAATTGACTTTGAAGATTATTTGCTCCTAGGTCTCTGTTTGTGTAGCTGGTATGAACTTCAGTTACTGTTTACCTGTGCTTTGTGCATTGCTGCTTTTCTGAGAAGATGTGAATTTTTGCAGTAGTTCTTCAGGGGAGTCTCCCTCACTGGTGTCATCTTCAAGTTTGGCTCCATCTTTTGAAGTGCCTGTTGGCCAAGCTGCCCCATCCTGTGAGGGGAAAGCCTCTGTTCCAGCAATGCTGTCATTTTTAGTCTACAAGGAAATGAGGAAACAAATGAGAAAAGCTCCTTGGGCTTCTAAATGTTTAAAGTGGTATCTAGAATAGTCCCATAGAATTGGCAGGTTCCAAGTGGAGTGGAAGGCAGTGGTGTTCCTGATACTTATTATCCATGTTCTGTCACAGGTGGATGTTGATGGTGAGAAAAGGTCTCTTGGAGCATTTTGGAAAGGAAGAAATGACCTTAAGCCTAAATGTGTCCATAATTCAGTTGACTATATTGGAGTATTGTTTCGGTACTTTAAGTGCCTTCTGTATGTGGATCACTGGTTAGAAATTTAAAACTGAGTTTTAAATTAGTACTTGGTAAGGTGTTAACCTGTGCACCTTCTAAACAATAGCTTTGAACCTCCAAAGAATGCAGGATTAGAGCCTAGATGTATTCTTGTCTCTACTCTGCATGTTTGGGCTTGAGCCAATGCCACTCTGCAGGCTTCACAAAGTGGCTGTGCACATGTATGCCATAATATTTGCATATATACAAGCCCCCTGCCTCACAATAACTTTTTGAGGCAAAACCCACCTTGCTGCAGTGTTGTAATTTATCACTGGTGTGGGAGGTAGGTGCCTCTAATTGTATCTTCCAGGCAAGTGAGACAGACTGTGAAAAGCCTCTTTTCAGGTGCTCTAAAATGAGGTCATGCATGTGGCCAAATGGTAAGTCTGCTTCCCCTGTAGCATAAGGGTTGTATTAAGCTGAGTGAGTGATGGCCCTTCTCTTAAAGAGCTCCGTGACAGATTCAGAGCTAGCGTTAACATCAGCAAAAACATTTCTCTGCATGCCTATGTCCTTGTACCTTCGCGTGCTAAGACACCTCCTAACATACTTTGTACAGGGTCTGTTTGGAAGAAGTCACTACCTGGCTTTTGGCTTCCTGGTTGTTCTGTAGCTCCTCAGAAGACAGCTGTGCGACAGCAACCTTGTTAGAAATATTGCAGCCCATGGTGAAACTGTGACCATCTGCTTCTCCTCGCTGCAAGTCCAGGGAGTAGGAATGCCCTCGTCTCTTCCTTGGGAGCTTGGTTATTCGTTATCACCATGGAGTCTAACTGTTGCCAGGGCCTGTTGCTACAATAAATAACACCACAGGCTTTCTTCTCATGTCCTGGCATACAGGCGTCATCGTCTTTGTCCAGGCACCCTCATCTGAAGTTGAGAGGGAATGTGTTTCTTCTGCGCAGCTGGGATGTTGGTCTGAGAGCAGCAAATCTCTACAGGTCATTCAGGGTGTTACTGAACCTTCTGTGGGAACTCAAGCGAAGACACTTGAATATCTCCAGCCTTTTTTTGTTTTTATTTTTTTTTTAGATGAACAAGATACTGTTATGTAAAATACACACACATTTCAGTCTCTGGTTGGATTTCTTAAGTGTTCTTCAGCACCATTAGCAGTTGGAAAAGATCAGTCCTGAATCTGGAATTCCAAGCAGCAAGGCAAGCCTTTAAATGGGAGGAAATGTAGTCAGGAGACAGGGACAGGCTGTGACTAGGGAAAATGTTTTAAGTGTCCCTCGAAATCATTGTACAATTTCTTGATAACTGTTTGAGTCGGTTCACATCCTTAGAGATAGATATCTGTAGGAGATTTAAAAAAAAAAAATTAAAAAGCAGCCATGGTTTAAACTTTCAAGTGGTTGTTATAAAAGATAGCAGAGAAATGTTAAGGCAGTGCTGTCAGCTGAAGATCATAACTGGTCATGTCTTGGGTCACTTGTGCTGAGATAATCAGCTGTTATAATTAGAAGAAATAAATTGGTTTTTCACAAATATTCATATGAAACTAACTCTTTGTATGAAATTGGAAGATTCAAAAAATCCAAGTAACTATTAATACCTATGAGGAATTTTTTTTTCTAAACTTCCTGAGACCCTGGTAACAAATGAATGTCAGCTTGTGACCTTACCCTGATTTCTAGTGCAAAACTTTCTGTAAAACTTGCCAAATTTCTTTTCCATATATGTGAAATGGAGATGTTTATATGACTAATGTGTCTTTCAAGTAGTAAGGCTGGTGAACTTTCAGAATCAAATGAACCCTAACACTGAGACAGAGTGACTCCAGCCTAAGAGATCACTCTGGATGGATGGCTGCAGGCAGCCCTATGTGTTCCTCTTGTCCCCAGTCCAAACCCTCAGCTGGTCTGGTTGGAAAGCTGAATAAACTCATTTGCATGGCAGTGGGCCTAAAGTGACCTTCCCTGCCTCAGTGTGCCTTATTTAACTGTGCAAAGCACTGCACTGAGGTTATTGTATGGCTTCCAGGTTGCAACTAGCGTCTCTACGCAGCTCAAAACACATGCCTGTGACTGTACCTACCTACCTGTGCTGGCATCCTAGAGCTACAAGGAACTCTCAAATATGCATCTGCTGTCTCTCCAAGAAACAAGTGTCTTCCAAGAAATTTTGTTCTTTTTTCATCCCTTGTCAGTGGGGACCTGGTTCTTGTGTCCCCTTTGAATTCACACAGAATGCAAGTCAAATAACCTTTTGGTGTGGGTTTTTTTTTGTTGTTGTTGTTGTTGCTGGTTTATTTTTTCTCTCTTTAGCAGATGTTTGCAAGTTGTATGTGATAATGCTGAAATATGGTTGCTGCTTGGTGTATGGCAGAACATGATGTACAGACTGAGCTTCTTGTTTGCATTTCTGAATAAACACTTGCTGTGATGGTGCAGTTCTAAAACTTGTTTATAAGTAAATAATAGGCGAAGTTTTAATCCTTGAAAAAGGCGATTTTCATTTCTTCCTTCAAACACAAATAAGGTGATAAAAGTGGAAACTGAATGTCAGTTATCAAAGTAAGAAAATTGGTTAAATGTAAAATCATAGACTGTAGCATAAAAAAAGGTAAGTTTTATGATTTATGCTTTACAAATTGATTATTGGCACATAAGAAGAAGGACAAGTGATAGTCTGAAGAAATAAGAGTACATGGAATGTAACAAATGGCATGAAATAGGCCCTTATTGATATTTATGAAAAGAACCTTCTTGGATCTCAACAGAATTTGTACACTTAGAGCCTGATCTTTTAATATCTTATGCACATGATTAAATTGACATGGTGAACAGTATGTTTTTGAACAATTGGAGCTACAGGCTTTCAAGAGCAGACTGCTCTCTCGCTGATGCTGACTGATAGAAAACCTTCCTCTCATTTTAGTAGCTTTTAATCGATGTGTAAAATTAAGAATGAGCAAGTTTAAGTCCAGTAAAGGCACCAGGATGTGTGGTGTTGGTTGAAAAATAGAGGATAATTCTTCATAAATACAAATGTAGGATATTTCCCTTTAAGAAAACACATGGAACAGAGCCTATGTGAAGCACAACATTGAAACTGGAGAGAAAGAGGAGCTGTGAGAAGACTAGTAATGGTGGGAAGGGAAAAAAGTGCAGGTCTCTATGCCTTGTCTTGTGAGAATGGGAAACAAAAGCCAGTCACAGGGATGTGCATGGTGGGGGAAAAAATCACTACAAAATCAGAAACAGCTGTTTCTGTAATTGCTGGTGTTATGTGGAGGAAATCGAAGTGTATGTGTATTTTCAAATGAGCAGAGTTGTTTTCAAAACTCTTAAGATCTGAAGCTGTTTGGTGGCTTGCAGGATGATTAGGAAAACTGAATGGGAGGCAGGACATCTCGGTGCCTACAACCTTATCAGCTGTCTCTGATTTACGCTCCTAAATTAGTGAGCTACTGCAGAGAGGTGAGAAAA